TCCGATCTCCAGCGCTTAAACATACATACAAATGTATGTATTTATGCATGTATGTACATTAGGATGGGTCAATTTGTATGAACGATTTTTTCGACTATGCCTTTATATTACTTTGCTGTAGTGTCGTAAAGAAATGCTTAAATTTTGTATAAAAAGGAATTTTTCTTAGAACTTCCATTAGAAGGCGCAACATTGAAGACTTTCACATTTTCTTCGAAACCTATTTTCGCAATTTGACAAACTCCAAATTGATTTTAAACCCATTCTATCTTCGGCTAATTTGCTTAGAATTGCACGTAGAATCCTTCTATGCTATACGCGCATATTTAGTAAAAAAATTGGTCCGCCCTAATGTATGAGGTACAGATATGAATATTTATGTAAGTATATATTTGATCGCTAACACACCTATGTATGTATTCATGTATGTTTGTAGCTCCGTAGAGTCTGCATCTTTAGCTATGTATTTAAGTCAGATTTTCTAAGTTTTTTATATGAGTTTCTTGAGTGCGCCGCATTCGTTTGGTGTCACAGCACCATAATAGATGTCGCCGTCGTGGCATATTCAGTGCCTATAAATAAATTTATTATAGTATTTCCCCCTCTGTAATGACGCGTAGACGCTTTTTTAATTTAGTGAATAAGATCTTTGTCCGTTTGAGATGAGTTGGTCTTGACGGCGGTGAGGTGGCGCAAGAGGGTTAGAACGCTAGCCGTAAAAGAAGGCCAGCAGACCGTTTAAATAAAAAAAAAATGTATACGCCATCGTATTGTATGTGTATGTGTGTAGGAGTGTACCTTGTAGGTAAAATAAAAAATAAAAAAATTCGTTGATATATACTTGATGAAAAATTTATTGAATTGTAAGTGCAGCATTTTCCCTCTTCCCTCTTAAATGCAACACAACGGACAGATTAGTCGTGTCTTAGTGGGCCTCCATCTACGGAGGCAACCTGATAACCTAACCTAACCTAAGGGCAGTATCATCATTAAACAAATATGTATTTATGTCTGAAGATGCTTCTTGCCTAGCTTTCAGGTCAATTTCTTACTTTCTACTCTGTTAATAATGCTAGAAAAAATTTGGATATGATCATCCCATTGACGAAGTCTCGGATGACTGATAAATCTAAATACACCCTTCAAACCTTTTGCAAGATTATTCCGGGCAGGTCGATATTGAAACACCTCGGCCTGAGACGCACGCATAAAATTTAAAAACCGTAGTAGAAAACGTAGCAAATTTCTTAAGAACTGCGTACTCCCTTAAGGAAATTTTACTCAAGGAAATTTCTTAGCCATTTCTTGTATGCCATTTTATATGGAGTTTTTGCTTTTCTTGATAGCTGCATACTGGCCTTTAGAGTAAAAAAAATAATTATTGCCGTTCAGTCATAGCCCGATTTCCGGCAGGGACTTTATCGTGTTTGTTAGTAGTGAAAAGTTTCTTTTTTTATACCTTGTACCATTCAATCAAGCAAGTAACCACTAATACAAAAATCTTTTTTTTAACAATTTTAATCTTTACTCACGCGTAGCTTCTAAATTTATGGCCAATTATTTCTATAAATTAAGCCTTTAGCTTTCGAGAAAAATGCTAAAAGCGTCAACCATACTATGACTGACTGAAGTGAGTATGGTTACCAGTGCAGTATATTACCGATTACCGGTTAATCGTTTGCCTTCTGCAGCACAATTGAAATCATATCTTTATAATTAGACGCTATTTAGAACTTAATAAATTATGTACAAATGAGTGTTAGGTTGTATTTTTTTCTCAATGGCCTATATGTGTAAGTACACACATACATACATAGTATTTAAAAGAAATATAAAGATCTCAGTTGGCGCTAAATTATTTTATATGCTTGTGAATGTAGTGTGTCAATGATTGCGTACATTTGTATTTACATATTTTCAATGTAAATGGCTACATTTATAAATCGACAGCGGGCATGTGTACGTTTGTTACCACGTCATAATATTTATGCGAATATCTAGTATATGACAAAGGTGCGAAAAACACGTTTATAATTTTTTTTTTATTATCATGTATGCATGGTTGGCATACCGGCCGGATTTTTTGTGCAAAATATTATTTGGGAAGAAGGTGTTCATGGTCTCATCTTCCTCTGTATAAGTTCGATCTTTTTTCCATAAACATACATATGCTTTAGGTCCAAATGTGGGCTTAATAAATCGTATACTTATTCCAGAACAGAATTCTCAACTTTTTCAGTTTTTTTTTTTAATTTTTGAAGTGAAACTTTTTTAGCGGCGGTTGGTTGGTTGGGAGTAAATTGGCAAATTCAACGAAAATTGCGCACGGAAAAAGTGAAATGGAAATTGCACGCGAAAGCTGCACACAGAAATTATTGGGACGGAATCAAGTGCTTCCTAAATATGTATATGCAAATGGAATTAATTTAACAAAAACGTGCTAATAAAAGGTTAAAGAACAAGACTTAGATAAAGACCAATACAATAATGAAAGTAAAGGTGAGTACGTAAATAGATAAAGCAAATGATAGCGACAAAGGTAAAAGTAAAAAAAAAAATAAAAACAAAAACAAAACATTGTAAAGATAAATGCAAAAATTAAGATCAAAGTAAATTTAAAAACTTTACTCATATAAAGGCAAAGGTGAAGGGGCATATGTATGTAGATGAAGAAAATGATAACCATAAAAGTAAAAACAAAGATAAACTTAAGAAAAAGATGAGGATAAGGATACCGATAAAAGTAAAAAGGAAGATAAACTTATTAACCTACCTACACTTGCCAGTCGCAGGGAAATGCTTGGTATAATTTTTATGGTTAAATTACTGACAGGCTCAATTTCAAGTCCGTCTCTTCTGGCTGATGTAAGCTTTAATGTTCCGTCACGCGTATCAAGACACTTTTGTCCCATATTTCTGAAAGCCTGTAAAACCAATTTTGAATTGCACGACCCACTCCGTTGCTTATGCCAGGATTTTAACTCTCACTCCAGCACGTTTGATATATCAGATCCGCTTTTCAGCATTAAGAAAGCGATACTCTCCTCTCTCAATAAGTGAATTATTGACATAAATACATAAAATCAGCTGATGAATTTAGTTCTGTAGCTGAACAGTTTTAGATCTCGACACTTAACAAACTCCTGCCTATCGTGACTCGGCACAAAAATTTAAAATATTGGTTCCGTACGTCATGCGGACTGCGCCCCTCGTGCGGTTGGGCGGGAATGGAGGGTAAAAACCGTTGGGATATTATATATAGGAAGAAAGATTAATATACAGGTAATTATAAAGAAAAGGATATAGATAGAGACAGCCTCAACCGGGAACTATTTAGGGATTTTCAGGATTCTCGGTATAATAATCGATATTTTTATTGATTTTGTTATCGAATTTGGTATCCACACTTTTATCAATCTGGTTATCTATATTTTCATCGCGTTTGTTATCGATAATTTTAGTAGTAGTAAGTAGTGAAAGAAAGATTAAAATAAATTGAATTATAAAGAAACGGATATATGATGTGTGTATGTATGTAGAGACACAGACTCAACCTTGAAAAATATTTCGGCATTTTCGGTATTCTCAGGACTTATCGATATAATAATCGATATTTTTGTCGATTTGTTTATAAATATTTTGTTATCAATTTTGGTATCGATATTTTTATCGATTTGGGTATCGATATTTTTTCGATTTTGTTATCGATGCTTTATGAATTTTTTTATTGATTTGGTTATTGATATTGTTATCGATTTTTGGAGATTTTGTTATCGATATTTTTTATAGATTTTGTTATCGATATTTTTATCGATTTACAAAACAGAATACGTTTAAAAAAACAGAATACGTTTAAAAAAACTGCATAAAAATATTTAAAAATATTTTCAAAGGAATCGTAGTAATGAGATTTTTCATGCTATTTTTTTATCTTTTCCAAAGATTGATTTACGAAAAACTTAAATAACTGGGCCAAAACTATTCTGATTTAGGCTTATGGGATCTCAGTAGAAAGGTATTTTCCCAGTATTTCCCAGTTTTGGAGAAGTTAGATTCTGAACTTCAATCGTGATTTCCCAAAAGCCTTCAAATGTAACATAATAATAATAATAATAATAATATATTGGCGCTAACACTTTTGCTAAGTGTTTGGCCGCGCTTCTCCTCCGATTTGTGGCATGCTGCTTGATTTTTTCACACAAAGGGGAGGCATCTACAATTTTACGCCGATTCCAAACGGTGATTGTGTTTTCGTGAGAAACTCTTTTTATGGCAAAAATACACTCGGGGGTTTTCGAGCCGACATGCGACATTAGGTCTGTTCGATGAATGCACTTGCGAAAAGCGTTCGATGAGGCCTTTTCTTGCACAAAACGAATGTATTTTCATGCGCTAAATATCAGAAGTTGTTCGGTACTGTACTGTTCTACACTGTTCGAACAGACCTATATTAATTTATCCGGACGACGGTATGGAGAACTAAACTCATTGCATTTTTTAAAAATAAAAAAATATAAGTGCATTATTTTGAAATTTTCAAAATTCATCAATTTATTCTATTCAATTTAGTTTTGAACTTACTAAAAAGTTTCCGCATTTAATAGATGCCAACACATATTATAAAAGCTTTTGCTTCCACGAAGAAAGAAAAAAAAACTCCAAACCCTTATATTTTGATGTGTATTGATATGTATTGAATATCTTTATCTATGTATGTAGGTATGTACAAATTTATACTCAAAAACTCAGCATTAATTTCAAAATAAATAACCCACCTGAAAAAATAGGCAGAAACACACCCACTGGTAGTATTTGTAGTGCTTTTTATTGTGATCATCACCATCCGAATTGGCGATACCCGGATAGGGTACAGATATGCCCTGCTTCTTACCGAAATGATCACGTAACGTATAAGTCGAATGAATCCAACAATATGTATTGAGTACGTCTTCTGGAATATCTTTGGTATGAACACAATCGATAGGGTTGCCAACATATTGTCTTGTTGTTATAATCAAAGAGAAGGACATCAAAATCATCACAGTAATTGAGTAGTGTAGACGGAATACTGGCGAATCGGTTTTAACGTGACTGACCTTTACAAGGTTTTTCAATCCACGAAATATATCTAACATTTTTCGCTAAACGGCAACGCAACGCGAAATAAATGACTAAAATTGTGGATTTGCTGTGGATCTCCAAGTGTTCATGTGTATGCGTGTGTATGCGTATCTAATAGTTTTTATTTTATTTTATTTTAAATTTCACTTGACTTTTGTGCATTTCTTTTGTTTTTGTGTAAGTATGAAAGTTCTTTCGTCGAATTGTTTCGTTGCGAACTGGAGGCAGAGGAGGCAACAAACCAATTTGTGGTTATCGTCTCGTTGTGCGGCAGTTCTTTCTTTTTCTCGCCGGTCCCATAGTTTTGTTGTGACGTATGCAGAAATCATGTGGATTTTATTATATTTTGCAGATCCCCTCCTGCATTCTTTTATTATTATCGTATAATTTTTTGTTTTATTCACTTCAAAATTCAAGACAGCGGCGCAAAAGTACTTGAAATTTTTATGGTTTTGTGTAAATGAATCGTGCTTGTTCGCGAGTTTTAAAAAATTTTGCATTTTAAATGTTAAAACTTGTTCGTACATTCGCTATATGAATATGTACGTATATGTAGGTATGCAAGTGGCGGCTGTAACACTTCACATTATTATTTCGTTTTCGACTTGGAAAAGTTTCATAAAATAAGGCACACTAAAATTGGCCGACTCGGTATTGCTAAAGATAGAATATGGGGCACTTATGATTTCATATTTCGAAGCTCTTATTTGTTTTCGTTTTATTACTTGAGTTAGATTTGCATGTATCCCGAAAGATTTAGTTAATTAAAAGTTTAAAAAATATACTATGCGAGTTTGTAATAAAATATGATAACCATTCGACGACGGCCCGATCTACGCGGTAAGTACTACATAGGATTGGAAAGCTAAAAAGACAATTTTTAATGAATCATCGCTAATAACCTAAGAAAAAGCTGCCGATTGTACCGGTGAGGCCAAAGTAAACGTATGTCTTAGGCAAAAGCTAATGGCCCCTACATGAACGCACCGTACACCAAAATGGCCCCAGAATTTCGTTGTACATAAGGTTTGGGAAATGTCACGTAAGAAAAACTACCAAAGAAAAGAACAAAACAAGCTCGGATGATTAGATACCCTCTATTTAAGATTCGAGAGAATAAACCTTTAATGTCGGCCACCTTTTTATTCGCTTAAACGAAATCTGCATGAGAAGGATAGCTGTCATAGAGACAAGTCTTTCGTCGGCTTCCAGCATATGAAGACTATGACTTAGGCTATCTATGGAGGGAAACCAGAGCGATCGCATTGTGATAAATGGAGCGCACACTTCCAGTGTTTTAGAGAAAAAGCATTGACTTGGATCATCAAATATATTTTCGAAACCAAGAGCTGCTTTCACATTCAAAAGGCAAGAAACTCGCTTCGAGATACAATTCGGATTCCTCTAAGATCCCCTTTCAGAGAAAAGCATTGACATCTACCATATCCTATCCTTAAGGTAATGGGCAAGGAAATTCGCCAGCCTATAATATTTTTCATACCTTCTCCTTCCTTGTCAAAGGTACTATATATATGGAAATTTTCTTTAAATCGGATCTCAAATACTATTTTTTCACAGCTTTTATGGGGATCTACCTGTATGTGAAAGATAAACACAAGGCTAACAGGTTATAGCAGCTGGAACATGTTCCAATAGTTTACCCAGGGTTGGATGAACGCAGGAATTACTCCTTGGCGCACGTTGGTAGTTACTTTCTCCATAAAATCATGGAAAATTCTTTAAATCATTCTCGACTCGGAAAGGACTGGGAAAAATTATCAAATCCTGTTGAGCGAAAACGACCATTCAACTAGGTATTAAAGATGAAAATACATCCAACAAAAATCGATCATTTAATTGGCAGTTTTGAGTTGTTCCATGCCGGTTCGAGTTGTTACGTAAAACTACGATTCATACAACACTGACTTCAAGCGACCTTTGAATACTACTGATACCAATTTCCCACTAGCCAACAACTTAGTTGGATATTTCAAAACATGTCGAAACTTGAACTTTCTGCTTCTCTCAGACCACTGTGCAGAGCTTATTATTTTTTGGCACAATCTATTTTGACACTCCATAGTCGACCAATGGGACAACGATATCCGGAATTGAACAGGAAAGTCAAACATACCTGCCGTTGGAAGAAAAATTTAGCTAAAATGCTTGAGTGCGATGAGCTCAAAATTCAGGCCGACTTAAAAAGTTTTTGTCTCAGCTTGCCGGGTCAGAATAGCCTGAACTCTTACTATTTTGGCCCGCCGTTCCATTAAAAGAACCGATATGTTTCAAACAGATGCTTCTATAGAATTCAACATGTCTTTTTTAATATAACAGTTATGAAAAACATGTGACTTTAAAGAATATTACTTAAAAAGGTGTACAAAATCAACAACGAATCTGAACGTTTAGAATGTTTCTCTGCTCAACTGCTCGCTTAACTGATGGATATGTGAAAACAGAAGCTGTATGAGTATGTAATTGAAATCGAATGCCTCGTGTAAAAATATTTTATTATGGCCAAAATACTGAGCCTGAATTAGGTAGGGCAAAAACGAAATTTAATTGTTTTTGGCTCCTTTTCCTGGTTGGGAGTTTGAAATTTTCCTGGACATGGCGTATACGCCATTTTTTAAACTTTTGGTTTTCAAAAGTACATGTACATATGTACTTATGTTACCATTACGAAATTTCGTCAACTTTCTTTAGTTTCTGAGGAACACCAGGGCAAAGTTTATTTTTCAACCTGCGTGCAAATGTAAATATTTACAAGTTTTGTTGATTTTTGTTTTAATTTTTGAAGGGAACCAAACACACAATCACACACATTTCTAGCACTACCGAGTGGTATTGTGCAGTTTACACAGTGTTACAAGGGCAAATTTGTATGTAAATACCCATACACATGCTCACAGTTTTTTGTTCCTGCCATTGTGAAATTTTAAGCAAATAAATGAACTAATTTATTGCTGATAGCTGGTATATATTTTGCTACAAAAAGTGATATATGGAGTTTCCTTTCCAATAATTTTTTTTTTGCAATGCAAGACATTGAGTGCGGAATTTTTGTGCTCTTTTCAAAAACTGTAATTTTTTTACGAAAACAAAAATTACGTATGCCATTTTTACCACAAATAGGTGTATAATTCTCTATTAAAAACACTGAAATGGCTCAAAGACAAAAAAAAAACTCTTGTTCGAATTTCAATAACAAGCCATGAATAATATGAATATCAGTGAAAATTTGCCCACGGCATATTTTTTTCCTGAGTGTCTATTTTAAACATATTTATGTATGTTTTCAAAAAATACTTAACCATGTATCTACCATACCCCGTTGTGCCTGCGTATGAGTGTAATACGAGTATAGTCAATTGAATAATTTATTTTGATAAATAAGTAAATCAGAAGTCTATAAATTCAGCGACCCCAACTGGAATGATTTTTGGAACAGCACTAAACCACGAAATCTACGTCATGATAAGCTTATAAAAAACAACACTGAAATTTGTGTTATTAGTATGTTTACATTAACTCTTGCGTAATCAGCGGTCATAAAACTTGTGTGGAAAGATCTCATGGATTCGCGTGTTCCCCATGTACACTGAATCAGAATACTAACATACATGTACCTACATTAGACTGTTCCAAGTATATATTGAAAAAAAAAAAAACTGTTTTTGCAAATATTGTATTTATTACAAGGCCGCAAAACCAGATTTTTTCTAGTAGAAAAATTTTTGTATATCCTGAAATGTTGCAATTGTAGAGCATTTTTTAACTGGTCTGACAGGGCGTATAAGGAACATTAAAAGAAAAAGTTTTCAGGACATACTCAAATTTTTATACGAGAAAACTACCTTCGTAATAAACAAAAATTCGGGGATCAGCAAAAATTGCTTAGGCAACAAAATACCTCCGTTGAAAAATACCCTTTGAAATTTGTATCTTTCAATATCCTCAAATATATTGACAGGATTTAAATTAAACTAAGATCCTTCAAAATGCATTCAAAATTAAAAATCTTGAAGCATGGTATTTTTAAAGGAAAATTTTCACATGTTCCAAAAGGATAATTGAAAAAAAAATTTTAACTAATCTTGTTTCGAGTTCTTCTTTCAATTGATACCCACATATATACTTATATATATATATATATGTTACCGTCTTATACAGAAGTAAATGAGCAAATAGACAAAACTCGCGACTCTCTGTTACATTTTATGGAACTGATCATATTGAGAAACGGGCCCTTATTTTGATAAGTTTGACTGCAAGTCGACACGGGTGCCGTGGCCCGAATTGCCGGAAATTTTATTAGGATAGTTTTTAATACAAAACCAATAAAATGAGGGCGTATGCGTTAATTAAATACAACTTTGGTCTTTTTTGGGACAGGCTAATATACATACATATATGGTTACATTAAAAAAGCATGTGGCATGCCAATCTAAGGAATGCTTTCTTGTTCAAAGGTCGAAGCCAATTAATTCCGATTTTGCACTGTTTGACGATTAGCTTTTATTTGTTTGCTATTCATTGTTTTTTTTTTTAAATAAGGAAATAGTTTTTGGCTATTTCAAACAAAACCTAAATGTATAAAATATCTTTGGCCATTTATGAACACTACGTTTCTGAAATAAAAAGCGCTTTTTGATTTTGACTAAATTTAGCTGAGTTTAAAATCATATACATATCTTTAGAACGAAAGTAGACAGAGCAAGACCGAAACGAGATTTTGAAAACACAGAGTTTTTTATATTTTCTCGCACGTCTATTTTATGTTTTTACCTATTTTTAATCACTCACACCTCAGAAAAAGTGCATCATGCTACAGCCGAGATATGACGATTTTCTACTATATTGAAGAGGATTTCTCTTAGATCAATTAGGACGCATAAATATAGGGTAGGAATTCCTCAACAAGTTTGAGAGTGTATGACAGTCATTGATCAGATATAAATCGGTTACGTAGACACGAACTTCGTGGGACGGGTATGTCGCTGTTGTAACCCATTTTAAAATAAATCAGCGCAAGGATTTTCTTTTCAAACTAAAGCGCTTTGCAAGGCATTTTCGAAAAAAATTATTTTTTGGCCGGACCTAGGGGTCGCTTTTTCCCATT